ATTGGAAAAAAAACAATAAATGGATGTAAAAATTGTAATTTTGCTGTATGAATTTTCTACCCCTTAAACAAACATAATAGATCTCAAAACAAAAGCGTCTGCCTTCTTATACTAACTATTTGTACGGTGCATGACGCATTACGATTATTGCAATAGCAACCAATTAACGAGCTAAAGCTCTTGTAAAATATCAAGCAAGAAGGGCTGCAATTTGTTTGGGTCTCCAGAATGTCAAGAAATGGTGAAGGTTGTGAGAATATAAAACAGATTTGTTTTTATTTCGTTTGGGCTCGTCAGATCGCACAAAATAATGTAGCAAATTTCAGAGTACATGTTCTTAATTGGTTCAAATGCGAGAAAGTAGTTCCACTTTTTAGAAAGCGCGTTATTTCCCTTTTGTGTATGTACAACTACAAGCTGTGAAAAATTCAGGGAGAATCACTGCGTAAAGATGGTCAAGAGACAGGCCGCATCAATTTTCAAGCAATAGTCAATTCCCGCAGAATGAGTCAGAACACGTTTCTTATACTTGTTTTTATTTGTATTTTCATATCGAAATGACGAACTAAATACAAAGCTGACATTCAAATCTCTGATACAGAGATTTTAACAACAAACCTACACACAAGTAGGTTTCAAAAACAGCTTAAATAGCGATTTAATAGAAAGAATGTTTTATTTTTGTTACAAGTATCGGCAACAATATTACTATCGGTACACATTAGACGTTCATGAGGTTGGCTAATAGAATTAGCTCAATCAAATGCAGCAATCTACAAAAATTACGCGGATGATTATGATGGTTCTAATCAATGACCATGAGATCTCGAATGACACCTACAACAAACCGAGTATTGTGGAATATATAAGTTAACTACATGTCGGACTTGTTTGGGCGAGAGGATTTTCGCTAAAATATTTACTTCAATTTTAAAACAACAGGATTGCGTGAACAAAGGTACCGGGTACGATTAATAAGGATTACAAACCCGAAATGCAATAGAAGTTTTCTCATTTAAAATGACTTTGTATTATTCGCAGACTTGGTCTACACTGTATAAATTTCTCCTTGGTAGCGGTTGGTAACTTCGAAGAGATTGGCGTCGCTTAGGGAGTGAGAGTCTCGATTCATGAAAACCCATCGAGGAAAACTTTTTTCTGGATAAAATTCTTTTTTAAAGTGTTTTGGTTGTAAGGAAGGGATAGCCATGAATGCGCAAGCGATAAGTGTGACTGCTTGTTATAAGAAATGAAGCAGATAATTAATTGTGTTTGATGAACTTCTGAAGTTTATGGCAGAATTCTTCCGTATGTATCAAACTCATGGTGCCTATGAGCCAGAATGAATATAAACTACATAAAAATATCCTAAAAAGGAAAATGGCATACATATTACTAGCAGTCGATGTAACGGAATGCAAGATAGCAAGATACTACAGAACTGTGCAGCACTCATTGATTTTTTACATATAAATGACTTATTGTAGCTCCAAGGATTATTTACATACTGTGTTAACAACAGTTAAAGTCGTTAAAGCCTAATTTAGAATAATATGGTTTTCTTCAGCCCGTTCCATTATATAAATTCAACGTGGCTGAATGGGTTTCTCTCTTCAGGATAGCTGCATAGGAAGCGGAGTCTGGAGTTCAAACTCCCAGTAAAGGTAACTCAGTTTTATTATTCACATTGTTTAACGCGCAAATAAACATTGGAATTGAAGTTAATAAGGTGTTGCAATTAAGTCCTTATAGCCAATTTTACTCACAATCTAAAACGCAGGAAAGCATTAGGTGAGCAATCTCGATTTAACATATAATCTCACAACCTCTTCTCTTACACTTCCTGAGACCTCTCCTAACAGAGGATTGCGAATTACTTCTGTGCTTTGATTGTATAGTGCCACCAATGTTTTCCAGCGTTTTAATTGTAGTAGATTGGCTTCAAAACTAAGTAACATTGATATTCGATCCAATGTTTATTTGTCTTAAACAATTTGAAAAAAAATGAGTTTCCGTACTCCAGACCTCTTGCTTCCTAAGCGAGCGCGCTAACCCTCGGCCACGGTGAAAATTTATATGATCACGGCCTGAAGAAAACCATATTATTCTATTTAGGGCTTGTAACGGCGCTAACAGTGTTGTTTTAAACCACTGTGTGATAAATAATCATCAGGGCTTACTATAAAGCAGTGTATAACTCTTTATTAAACGAATAAACATATTAAGAGAATTCCGACCATTCGGAATGTATTTTGTGCACTTGAATATTTGATCCGCCTGTCATGTTGTGACCATATTTACGCAGTGATCTCCCTAATTCTTTCGGCCGTAAGCTGTTTATCTTGATAAAGGGAGTACCAGCACTTCAAAAAGCGGACTACTTTCGGACTTGCATATATGTACAGCATAGAGTCTGAATTTGCTTGCATATATTTGTTTGGTCTACGATCGCAAAAAAATAATAATAGCTATGACCCAAAGCAGATTTCGTGAGCAGAAAAATAGTAATGCTCGGAGACTGAGTCATTGTCTAAGTATATTTGACGTTTAAACACATGCTAGTTGCCATCAATATAATATTTTCACACACCCGTGGCGATTTTGCGAACTTCTTAACCAAATGATGTTTTTGCACGGAGCGTCGCATAGTATTTTGACAATGACGTCTTTACAGCGTATAGTAACATAACATAGTGTAAAGACGCACCGCTGTATATATGTTCAGAGCAGTTTATACAATATAGGCTGCGTCAATGAAAAAATGACTCTTATTTCAACTTTAAAAGCGATCTTTTATTTTGGGTATGCTGATAAATAGCAATATTAAATTCGTGTAAGTTCCATTACTTGAATTATATTGCCTCTGGTTGAATTAAAATAAATATTATGCTCGCCAGCAGGCTCGCATAATAATACATTTTAATCAACTCGTCAACGCAATAAATTCAGTATTGAACTTGAAACACTCATTCATATCCTCTATATAAATACACCGATTGACCAAATAAGAAATCAACACACTACTTCGTTCCCGATTATATACTAATTGATACACTTATGAATTTAATTACGGGACTAACTAAATCCTATAAATTTTTGTTTGGCCTATACTCCATTTGTATATCCATATATGTATATATCAATCGCCATATAACCTGTCAGGAATATTTATAACACATTTATAATACTTCAAACACTGTTTTTAGAGAAAAAAGTGAGATTTCTTCATAAATTGATAGAAGCCATGTATATTATAAGTTTTAAAGAATTTTGACAGGTTATATAACCCTATTTTATGACCCAATATAAATAATTGTTTGAAAATATAACCGAGCGGCTAGGTTAAATATCATTTAAGTGCCTTTTGCTAGCGTACGTAGTTTTACTATAACTATAGGCCCCCGATACTAGATCTGAAAATGATAATTTTAACGCTTGATTCTTTTATAAGACAACTTAATGTTAGAATCGAATTAAGCTCTTACAGACATGCTAATCTCACACAGCAAGAAATAAATTATGATTTTCTATAGGATTGTTATAAATGCTAATAAATATCGTTGACCAGTGTTTTTCCCATATTTACGCATACTTTTACATCGAAACAACCATAATGCGATACTACGATGATAAAAAATCGAAAGCACGATACTAAGATGGTGACAATGCGGAACATTTTCGTGTCGGGGCAATATCTCGGAATATATATAGAAGCGAGATTCTGACCCGGAACGAAAATATCTCAGAATCAAGCTTTGGCACGTCAATATATTTTGACTAGATTTTGACCCAGAACGAAGAATCAAGCTTTGGTCAGAATCAAGCTTTGGCACGTCAATGCGTTACCCAGCGTATGTGATAAGTTAAATGTTTATTCTCACGTACTCCAGCGCTGGTGATAAATATCTATATCCATGTGTTTTGTGATAAATATCTCAGACATTTTTACTTTTATAAAAACTGGCAATTATTTTCTTACCGTTACAAAGACTGGCAATTATTTTTTGTTTATTCTCAACTTCAAATCAAATTGCATTTTCTCTCCTTCTGTTATAATACTTTCAACACGATTCAAAACCGCTATGACTCATGAAAACAAAGATGTATATATCACTGATGCATATTGAAATGCGGTATATGTTTCCTACAAGTATAATACTGATAAGCGTTGCTATAGAGATACGCGCTTACTATACCTCTGCTAGACTAGCTTCAGGGTTGTAATACACTGGAATAACTGGTTTTCTCTTTTACATATTGGAATGACAGGCATGTTAAAATTTAACATTCACATCAAGATAATTGTTTATGAGTCACTGCATTATTTGAGTTCATACAGAATTTAACACACCAGAAGTTAAAAAAGGAAAAGTGTTATCAAACTCATAAGGACACGATTTGCCTTTTATATACTCTTTAAATATTAGCGGCTAACACGAAATTACATGCCGGTACCAAAAGTATGGCTTGGCAAGTCTGCACATTGATGCAATTACAAACATATACTCCATACTGTAAATTGACTAATTGTAGTGCTTTTTTATATAAATCAAACGCGCTTGAATAAACAATGAACAGAATCTAAATTTAATTAAAACAATTAAGCCATTCTTCAAAATGCTGTATTAGAGATAATGCCGCTTTAGATATAAATTTCCTGCACACAAGTTGCCTGATGACATCACAAACACCTGCCACCAGAATCGCGCAAATTTACTGATTGGAAAAAAGAACCAATAATTATATACATTATATAGCAGCAGAAATTTTAATTTCAAATAAATTATTTTTATTTGTGGATGGATCTTTTTTAGATTGTTATATTACTTTAAAGTTCTTTAAATTCATACTTAAATACGCGCATTTTCATTTTTTTTTTGCTTTTAAAAAAGGAAAAAAATAACTCTGCTATTTTTCTGTTGTATATTTTTCGTAGAAACGATCTCATATAAACGAGATATAATTGGAGAAGGTAGATATAAAGCCAGTCTAGCGTTCTCAGCACGCGCGCGTTATCATGCATCTTTCTGTAATATCACCAGAAAACTCGTAACAAAGATGGCAGCCGGATGTGAGGAAAGGATATTCTGTGAACTATAAAAAGCACAATAAAATGGCTTACTTTTCATAGTATGGACAAATCTAATTGGTAAGACAACATATATCTCATTAAACATTTTATCGCAATCATGTCTAACTTTAGATCGGACATCAAGTAGAATCATCAAATTTCATTGCAGTGAGAAATGTTTAAAAATTACGTTAATAGCTGTTGATAAAGCATTTTATATTTCATCCGCCTATGGGATTATGGGAATGGCGTTAAGTTTACGTGAGAGACATTACTTTTAATTATTAAATTAAACTTTCAGATGTAGTAAAAGCAATGCTTATTAATATTAAGATGTTTTATTTTCATGTCCTCTTACTTTAAAGCAGTACGCTTCCAGATTCACGCTAATTGTCATGTAAATTTTTTAAAATGTATTTAAATGTATAATATTGTGAAATAACCAAAAGGAAGCAATTTACACATTATCAATGGCACTTACAACCCACGTAAATTACCAAAAGTGGTCAAGATATGCATAAATAGCCCTTACTGCGTTACATAGTAACGCAGTAGAAATACTATAAAATCAGTCATTAACCGCAAAAAAACATATAAAATATTACTTGAATCTTGAATCTTTTTGCTTTTCCTAAAATCGTAGTACATATTTGTTTGATTTTATTGAAATATTTTGACTCATCTGGAGGCGTGCAGCATTAAGTACCACGTTAAAGTCGCGACATCATTATCAGAACTATTATTATTATTTTTTTTTAGTTATTAATTTATTATTTTATTTCATATGCTCCTTATTTATTTTTTGATGATGTATTTATTGGACCGACGACCTTTACTTAGTTATAAACATCTGTAGATTATGTACTGATAAGATGTGCCTCGTGGGGTTTGCTTCCTGGCTGCATGTGTTTTGCATGTATATATCCTTTATGCTAAACACCGGCCTACCATAGCAAACAAAGAAAAAAAAATGTAATAATCTATAAACTAATAATTTTCGAAGCATGTGTATTTTGTCATTTCCGAAAAAAAAAATAAATAAACACACAAAAAGAAAACAACAACATAATCATATGACATATCAACTCTGCAATCATGAGCACAGTGTAATTTTATTCGATAAAACACATTTTAAAATATGAATTTAGCGTGCTTTATATTTATTTAATATTGCAACATCATTCTTTTTGCAGGCGGTTAAGATCTTTAGATTATTATGACGTTTTAATGTCATTTTCAGATGAAGGTAACAGTTAGTTAGAGATGTCAATGCCCCCCGTGCCTACAGTTGACTGTGGCTCTATTAATCACGTGGTATGATACTGATACAAGACGATATTTGGACCCGTAGACACATGAAAAAAGGTTTAGCACATATCAATATAATTTTATATGCTTTATTTTACAATGGAAAACGCAATTTTTAAACATTTCTCACTGTTAGATGATGTAACGTTTGTAGAAAAAAAAATAATTTTGCAGTATGAATCATGCCACTGCTTTAAATAAGCCGAAATAAGAAGAAATGTCAACATGATGATACGGTTAAAGGAATATTTGATGAACCAAATATTGATAATGATGATGATGATGATGATAACGATTTAGTTTGTAATCATGATGATAATGATGATGATAATAATAATGAAAGTGATGATAATTATGGCGATAATGATAAAGATGATGATGATGCTGTTGATGATGATAATGATAATTATGATTATGATGATTAGCCTAATGATGATGTTATCATTATTATGTTTTATATAAACAAGCTTATATGATGACACTGCGGTGAAATTGTAATCACCTTATTTAAGTTTGTGTTAAATTTGTGACAAAATGTAACTTTACAGACATGAGACATTTAGAGGTAAATTCAGCTCTGTTGTTCGAGATGGAATGTGTATATTTCTATTTGTATCATTTATCTTCATGTTTAAATATATTATTGTTATATAATGTGATGTAATGTGACTTTATAAAACTGAGTCATTTATAATAATTACTATGTATTCGTTACAAATGTTAATTCATTCAATACCTTCTTACTGTATTTTCAGAAACAACCACTATGACGTGGATAATGCGTAAAATACGTCGACGATTTCTACTTGTTGTTGTTGTTATATTAATGGCTGGATTATTGACATTTGAATACACTCGTACTTTAAAGATATCCCATGAAAATTCAGATAACAAAGTGAGTCAGAACAGCACAGCATCTGGTCTATTTCTAGTAGATATGCCATTTTGTAAAATTCCCAAAGTAGACCCATATGATCCGACGATTCGTCATATTGTTAGAAAGATAGGACGTCGGCGTTGTCCACAGAATACGTCTTTGACCTACCAAAGCGGCACCCACCTCAATATCAATCTGACAGCAGCTATGTTACCGCCGTTCAACGGCAACGTCGTGTATTGTGCTTACACTCCAATATATCGTCCTGTGTTCGAGTCAACAAATAACAACTACTTACGTTACCTGGAGGAAAGAGAACCATTTAATGAATCAATCATGGTCGACCACGAGTTTGTCATAGTGAATTGTTATAACGATAAAGACAAAAGCATCTACACTAATTTTCACGCTTTTATCCTGCCGAACAGAACTCTTGATAAAATTTATAAGACAAAGTTAATAAACCATGTCATGAAGGAAAAAGTGACAGAACGTTTAAACGTTATGATGATAGGCATGGATTCTGTTTCAAGACTCAGTTTTATACGACAGATGGTGAAAACAAAACAATTTTTGGAGGAAGAATTAGGAGCGTTTGATATGATGGGCTATAATAAAGTAGCTGATAACACTTTTATAAACATTGTCCCGATGACTCTCGGGAAATTCGCACAGGAAATGCCGTGGGATGAAAGTCAGACGTCACAAACGTTTGACCATTTTGACTTTGCTTGGAAACAATATCGAGATAGAGGTTATAGAACATTTTATGCAGAAGACGCGCCGGACATAGCTATTTTTGACTTTTTGAAAGCGGGATTTAATACGCCACCTGCCGACCATTTCAATAGACCAATCAGCATTGCCATGGAACTAAAAGAAAATCTTTGGGTTAACAATCACCATTGCTTTCAAAATAGATTAGAAACAGAAATAGTTTTAAAATACTTGTATGACTTTGCAGATACTTACAAGAATGATCCATATTTTGCGTTTACTTTTATTACACGGTTATCACATGATGACGTCAACAGCGCTGGTGCTGCAGACGAACCATATTTTAACTTCTTCAGGCGTCTGTATGACAGTGATCTTCTACAAAGTACTATAGTGTTCTTTTTCAGTGATCATGGTATGAGGTTTGGTAAAATAAGGGAAACTTACATTGGTAAATTGGAAGAAAGACTTCCATTTATGTACGTCATAATTCCAAAATGGCTCCAAGAATCGTATCCTTTCATTTCCGAAACTTTGAAAATTAATCAGAATCGACTGTCTACGCCATTTGATGTGTACGAAACTTTACAAGACATTTTGTACTTCAATGGCGAGTTGAAAACAGCAGACGAAACTTCGCGTGGCGTTAGTTTCTTCCGTGAGATCCCGATAACGCGGTCATGTGACAAAGCTGGGATACTTCCACACTGGTGCACGTGTTTACATCATGAAAAGCTACAGACTAGTGAAGATGTTGTTGTAAAAGCTAGTTTTGTACTTCTGTCTGAAATATTAAACGAATTAAGAAATTATAAATCGATATGTGAAAATCTATCGTTACATCATATCAGAGAAGCTGTTAGGCTGGTAGAATCAAATGATGTTTTAAAATTTGTAAGTGACAAGAAAAAGAAAGAGTTCGCAGAAAGCGAGATCGGAAATAAGTTGATTGAAGATATTCAGGTTGTCATAGAAACAGTTCCTGGAAATGCGCTGTTTGAAGCTACAGTAAGGCTAGATACATTCCACGATAGTTTCAAGGTTATAGGGGATATAAGCCGTATAAATATATACGGTCATCAGTCAGACTGTATAGATGTCTTCAAACTGAAGAAATATTGTCAATGTAAATATGATTAAAGCTTAATAAGATGTAATTTCCACTGGGATATAAACATGTGCCAATAAAAAATACCGATGTTTTTACACTAAAAATCATGTATATTATTTGCTTATCCAATCACTTGGCTTTCAGAAACGCCTTTTTATTTGCAATCAGTAAAACAATTGCCTTCGGTCATTGACAAATACAAAAAACTTTTGGCAAAACAATTGCATTCATGTAAGTTAACATATGAATAATAAACATATATTATAGCTTCTTCAATTTATTTTGTAAGATTATACATATTTTATTTTACTTTAAAATGCCATTTCTGTGTTGAATTTTTGCAATTTTAAACCGTTCTAAATATGGATTAATGGATGGACGCTCTACGTCAAATGCTGTTTTCCTATATCATAGATATTTTTACAAAATGTTTTGTCCAACAATTAAATATTATATAGAACTTTTGATATTGTGATGGAGTAAACTGATACAATCAATAATCAACTGTAAAATGGCAAATGTTTATATTCTGTGTAAAGTAATAAGAATATACTCGTATATGACTTTTTCAATGTAAAAAAATCGGTTAACAAACAATGAGAACTGTTGTCACATTTACCTCATATGTTTATCTTTTATAAATTTGTATGTGTGAAAACATGATTTTTGATGAATTAAATGAAAAAGAAGAGTTTGAGCTTTTATCTATGTACACGTATATAATTATATTTGCTAATTGTATTGTATTGTTTACAACTGATTAAAAAGTGTACACTCTCAAATAGACGCTATGCATTCTTATTTTGTATGATATAGGTTTAAAAATAAACGTTAAATAAAATGCCGTTAATTAAAACATCGTAAGTGCAAGCCCTTGCTCAGAGTACATGCATATAAAACTCTTTGAATGATAAAGTGCGCTTTAATATAAAAACCAAATTATCTATGATTGTATATAGGTATATATAACTGTCTGGAAAAAGGTAATCCCTCGGAAGCTTTAAAAACAGCAAAATGACATGAAAACTGCAGACTTGTTTGATTGAGTCTGTATATAACGGATTATAAAATAATGAAAACGCTCAATTTTCAACACTTAAAAGTGCTGGAATCAGTTATCCCGAAGGACTAGAAAATATAACACTGAAGTGAAGTACGGGGCAACCTTTTACGGTTGCCACACAACACTTGACACCTGCTGTTGCGATACATAAATGTCTGGAAAAAAAGTGATCCATCGGAAGCATTAAGACTGCAGACTCAGTAAGGTGTAAATATCCAATCACCTAAATGAGAATTAGAGTTACCTGCTTACCGCATATACATGTAGACTGAACAAATGGGTTATTCCAACACTGTGTTGAACTCCTACAGTTCACTGAAATCATGAATGAGATATCCATTTGTTCAAGAAAGGAGTAATAAAATTAATCATATGTCAAAATTAGTTTGCTATTCCAGACATCAATATATATATCGTATAAATTTATTTATTTATTTACTTATTTATCTATTTATTTATTACTTATTTATCTATTTATTTATTTATTTATCTATTTGTTTATTTATTTATTTAAAGTCTCATTCATATGCATACACAATTTACAATTCTTAAGAGTATATAATATCACAAATAGAACATACTGTGAACCAAACGGAGCATCAGGCAAATTGCAGAACGGACCAAGATTAACTTTTGGTCATGATAAAACCAGTTTCTACAACGGGTTGTATTTTTAAAGGACCTTTGTGAAATGCGTTAACATAAAGTTAAGTCACCCTTGTTTAGGAAAGGCGAACCCAATCAGATGTAGATTACTTGTACTTGTACTTCTTTGGAGCTTTTATATTTCAAGTAATTATATTTGTGTTTGAGTTTGTTTGGAAGAATCCATGTGGGCGAGCATATACTTCATTTATTACCTAGTAATAGGGGATCTTATTATGTTTAATTTACAGCTATATATGTACACGTGTTATGTGCATACAATGTCTCCCATAACAAGGTCATCACCACGTATGAACAATGCTATGGGAGACTTATGGGATTGTCCCATTCTAAGATTTATTTACTAAAAATTAATATCAAAATACTTATTATTGAGAAAGATGTTTGTAACAAAAAATATGCTACAATTTTTAAAAAGGTTTAAATAGGATATTTATATTTATTCTATTTTAAAATTTGATCAAAAATATTGTAAACTGCAGAAAGCAGCGATAAAGTTTAATTGACTGTAGGGGTGTCCGTGGCATAGAAATAAGGTCGGTGACTTTAAACCACTTTCTTCAGGCCGCTGTAGGTTCGAGCCGCTCAAGATTGGTGGGATTCTTCATGAGATAAAGCTATCCAACTTGATTACGGAACGTCGGTAGTTCTACTAAGGTGCCCGTTTGTGCATGAAATAATGCACGGAGGGGTACCTAGCTGAGGTCTTCCCCCACCAGTAAAGCTCGAAAGTTGTCTTACGATCTAAATTGCTGATTTCATTTTGTATAAGGGATTCACTTTTATACTTGAGCATTATTTCAGTATTTCTATAAGCTGCATATAACATGCTAAATATCTAGTTAGAGTGATAATTGTCGTGATGATAAATTGTTTAAATGTTAGCAGAAATATGTTACACTATCTCAGCGATGATAAATTGACAATGTTGGTGGTATAATATAAGATATTTTATGTTCAATAATACCGACAGATGTGTCTTCTCCCATTTTTTCAAGCCTATATGAGTTTATGAAATCGTTCTGTTACCTCAGATGGAACATTTCACTTATAGCTAAGATTAGACATTTTTCCAATCTTACAAATATATAAATGGAATATAACTTTACTCCACACCATCTGAAAGTATATTATATAGTCATCGGGAAATATTTAGCAAAATACTGTAAAGCGTGCCATGAATTTCTTAATCTCCAACGTTCTTAAGAATTTGTCATGTTGATTATTTCAAAAGTTTGAACACAGACATTAATATCTCTCTCTTATTTCATTTGATTTAAAAGCCTTTTACTTTGTCATTTGAATTTATTGATTTGTTAATAAACACATAATATTTTACAAGAAACAGTGACAGATGTTATCTATGACTTGTCAGTTAACTGGTTTATCCAGGTCCGTTTGTTTTTTGGTTTCATAACGCAAATGCGTTAATTTCATAATGCACATATGCATGTCACGGTTGTGAAGCCTAATATGCATCGCAATAAAAGTGAATTTATATTAAAGTAGACTCTAATCTCATCTCAATATTCTATTTTCTTTATTTACCATTAACAATTGTTTATCATGTTTGGAGCACCCAGCATGCCGATTTTCATGTATAATGGCGCGATAGTGTTACATTAACGTTTCCGTGAATTCAAAGTTTTATGTGCACAAAATCATGCCAAAAGTTAGTTTGTCCTGAATTCCGCTATTTGTGCCATACTGTTCAACATATTGTCACTGTTACAGTTATAAGATACGTGAACGTGACAACTTTGGTTCACTGAAACGACCTGAATATTAAACATATTCAGGACAGCTTATCCATACATGTTCACTTTAATCAATACCAGTAAACGTGCTGTAATAAACATCATAAGTTTTTTTTAAATGTTATGAGCGCCAGTTCAAACAGAGTCTTTCTGGTAACGTGCGTCCATCTATTATGAAAATGTAACTTTACGAACTGATTATTTTATATCCCATTGAATTATCAAATATCTTTAGCTTGTATATTCAGCATATGGGAATAAACCGTCCGTAACGTTTTCTAACAAAGACAACACACTTCAAGGCAGAATCAATTAGTTTTGGACAATATTTCTTAAATGTTATTTAACAAATGTTAGTGTATTCTGCAGGTAGATCTTGTTTAACCTTGTAGTTTCAGAAATATATCAGTTTGTAACCGGAAGTCAGTGTATGTATTTTTCAAATGTGTTCCTTTGCAATTTGAAGCTGCAACACAATCCAGGATCATGTCGCAGTTAAGCTACGGAGAACTGATGTGACGTTGAAATATACACAATAATTGCCCCGACCCTCCTACCAACATCCCCACCTCCCCAATCGGTTTCCATCATGCCATGACTACAGATATATCAGAAGACAAATATGACAGCTTTGTTAATATGAGTAATAAAATAAAATGAAAAACTTAACAAAGTTTATTATCCAGAAAATGGTACATCGAATGTAAACGTGACTTCAGCGAGAAACGTAGATATTTTCAATGTCAAATTGAAAGATACAATCTTTCCCATTAAGGCAATAATATATATAATTGATCAATGAGAAACTTGAATCAGTAGTTTGGACACATCTACATTGATAAGTGTAATTTTGTTTGTGAAAAACTGTTCTGCTGTTTGAGAGAATAAAGAAAAGGTAAGCAAACTTCTATTTATTTATTTCTTAATTACTTTTAGATGTTTTTGGTTTGAAAAGATTATCATAAGCTTAATTATTAAAACATCTTTTCTTTTAGAATATTTCCGAAAATTTTCAATAATTTTAACTTTAAGCATTGGTGCTTTTTTCTGTACGTAGACTTGGTGCTAAGGGCTGTGGACGATAACTTGCACTTTCCAGTACCGTCCATGAACAGGTTCAATCAAACCGAGCCTGCAACTTTTCAATTGTGTCATTTGGGAGTTCTTTAGGGATTCGGTTTTTCTCTGTTTTATGAAAATAATGGAAAAAACATATGTTGAGTCGATGATTAGAGACAGTCAGTTATCTTTTTGTATATTGTATATTTTTTGTATCTTTTCAAATTTAGATCATAAAAAAAGCAACATTGTCATCTCAGATCATAATTCCTTTTAGAGAATAAGTTTTTTTTTTAAATCCTTTACCCTTGCAGTAAATGAAAATAGAGCTGGTTAGCCTGCAACTCCATGCAGTCTGAATAAACTTTACTGACTTTAAATTCTTATCTTGAATATATATAATAATACCCCACCCACCTCCTGCTGCCCTCCCCGCCTCCCTAAATTTGTTATGTTTAAGTTGCACATGTCCATTTAAGAAACTAAGCAATTTAAGGATTGATACATTGCTTTATGTTAATGAAAAGATGCTTTTTATAAAAATTATTATTTATTATCAATGTAAAACAAATGTTACAATATCTGATGTGTATTGCTGTTGGTTGTAGTTTTTTGTGAGTATTGCAAATGAATACAATTGAATTTGATCATATTTTATAATTTTATTGACGTTTGACTTATGTTTCATTTAGCATACATTTTTCACGATACTTACTGTTAAATACCTTTGAATCTTTGTAGACAGAATTTTATTTTTTTATTTAACAGTTTTTTCCAAATGATCCCAGGTGTTTGATAATATAGCAAAATTCCCATTCTTGATTTCAGCCTTATAGATAATTATTGTCAATTATCAGTTATGATACGTTTAGAATTTTTTAAGACAATTCAGTCATGTGCTTTCAGATTCCAGATTTTATATTGACATTGCCGCTAAAGATAAACAAATTATGCATAAGGATTTTTTTCTTTTTGAATTCTTTCTGGTCAGTATATTTTTCTACTTCAGATATACATGTTATTATTATAATATCTAGGGGAGATATGCATGTTGCTATGCTGACCATTTTCTTGGGGTTGTTGATGTTAACATCGACTGCATTAGGCAAAGATTGGCACTACTATATTTCTGCTGATGAGGTCGATTGGAACTACGCTCCGTTCAACGCAAATCGTGTCACTAACGACAATAGGCAAGTACCGCACTTATTTCTATCTGTCCAGATACCCAGTAACCCCCGCAAATTTGTTTGCCTTTCTGTATGGAATATCTGCTTATGCAGGCTTTAATCTGTATGATAAATTAATGTAAAACTCACTTAATTACAGACATCTGTTACAATTATTAGACGCTTGGTGTAAAAACCGAGACATTGTAAAATGTCACACATGATTAAAGGGATTCCACTAAGGAAAACCGAGACATTGTTAAATGTCACACTTGATTAAAGGGACTGCGACATAATGGGATTGGAAATATTTTTACGATATCTTTATTACATGTGATTTAAGTCTATACCAATAACTTATGTGCAAAATTTCAGATGATTTGCTTACTAATTTTTTATACAGAATGATCATTTTAATGTACACAATTATCTAAACCAAAAATTTGCACTAAATGTCGATTGTAATTTAATTCTGAGCAAAGTTTGTTTTACCTTTTTCCATTTTTATTGCCACCAGTTGATCTTTGTTAGCTTGCTTAAGTTTTATGGTTTTTTTGTATGTGAGAAGTTAGCAGTTAACATTGAGCTAAGCAAAAAGGCATTACAATTTATATAGGGAAATCAATGATCTGCTGTTATGCTCAGCTGGGTAAGCAATCTACGAGAACATTCCAAAATAAAGTGTAGAAATGCTCTGCTGGTATGCTCAGCTGGCTAAGCAATCTAGCAGGGCATTCCTAAATAGAGTGTAAAAATGCTCTGCTGGTATGCTCAGCTGGCTAGGCAATCTAGCGGGACGTTCCAAAATATAGCTTAAAAATGTTCTGCTGGTATGCTCAGCTGGCTAAGCAATCTAGCGGGGCGTTCTAAATTATAGCGTAAAAATGCTCTGCTGGTATGCTCAGCTGGCTAAACAATCAAGCGGGGCTTTCCAAAATATAGTGTAAAAATGATCTGCTGGTATGCTCAGCTGGCTAGGCAATCTAGCAGGGCATTCCTACACATAGTGTAAAATATTCTTTGCTGTTATACTGAGCTGGCTAAGCAATCTAGCGGGGCATTCCAAAATATAGTGTAAAAATGCTCTGCTTTTATGCTCAGCAGGCTAAGCAATCTAGCGGGACATTCCAAATTATAGTGTAAAAATGCTCTGCTGTTATACTCAGCTGGCTAAACAATCTAGCGGGGCATTCCAAAATATAGTGTAAAAATGCTCTGCTGTTATGCTCAGCAGGCTAAGCAATCTAGCGGGACATTCCAAATTAATGTGTAAAAATGCTCTGCTGTTATACTCAGCTGACTAAACAATCTAGCGGGGCATTCCAAAATATAGTGTAAAAATGCTCTGCTGGTATGCTCAGCTGGCTAAGCAATCAAGCGGGGCATTCCTATATATAGTGTAAAAAATGCTCTGCTGAATTGCTCAGTTGGCTAGGCAATCTAGCAGGGCATTCCTATATATAGTGTAAAAATGCTCTGCTGGTATGCTCAGCTGGCTAGGCAATCTTGAAGGTCATTTCTTTTGTCTGCGACTGATTCTGGGACAATCGCAGACTTTCAGGAATTTTTGGTGCCAATGGAGATAATGACATTTGTGAATTCTAAGGACCATCCAGAGTCCATTTCGTTGGTCTGCGACTGTTTCTAGAACACTCGCAGACTTTCAGAAATTTTCGGTGCCAATGGAGATAATGATACTTTATTTCAAAAGGACCCTCCTGAGTCTATTTCGTTGGTCTGCGACTGATTCTGAGTCACTCGCAGACTTTCAGGAATTTTGGTGTCAATGCAGAGAATGATATTTCTGACTTATTGGGACCTTCCTGTTTCCGTTTTTTGGTCTGCGACTGGTTCTTAGGCACTCAAGACTTTCAGGATTTTATGATGTCAAGGCAGATAATGACATTTTTTACTTCTAGGGTAAAATATGTCATCCAGGGTCCATTTTGTTGGTCTGCGACTTAGTCTTCCCAGATTTTCAGGAATTTTTGGTGCCAATAGAGATAATTACATTTTTGACAGCTTTTGACCATCCAGAGTCTATTTCGTTGGTCTACGACTGATTATTGGGCACTTGCAGACTTGCAGGAATTTTTAGTGCTTATGCAGATAATGACATTTTAGAGTGAAAATGCTCTGCTTCTGACTAAGGGGTCCTTAAAATTAAAACATGTCATGATCTGCAATGGCACAAAACATCCTGAAAGTCTGCGAGTCTCAAAGAATCAGTCGCACACCAAAGAAATGTACTCTAGCGATTCCCTAGAAGTCAGAAATGTTATTATCTCCATTGGCATAAAAAATTCCTGACAGTCTGCAAGTGTCCCAAAATCAGTCGCAGACCAGCGAAATGAACTCTGGTGGGTCGCTAGAAGTCAAAAATGTCATTATCTCCATTGGCACCACTGTATCATGAAAGTCTGCGAGTGTCCCAGAATCAGTTGCAGACAAGAAAATTGGACTCTGGTGGGTCCCATGAAGTAAAAATTGCCATCATCTCTATTGGCACCAAACTTTCCTGAAAGTCTGCGAGTGTCCAACAATACGCCGAAGGCCGAGCAATTGGACTCTTAAAGGTCCCTAGAAGTCAAAAATATGATTATTTCCATTGGCACCAACCATTCCTGAAAGTCTGCGAGTGTCCCAGAATTAGTCACAGACCAAAAAAATGGACTTTTTAATGTCCCTAGAATTCACAATGGTAAATATCAGCATTGGCACCAAAATTCCTGTAAGTCTACGAGTGCCCATCAAAAAGTCGCAGGACAATGAAGTATTCTCTTTAAGGTCCCTAGAAGTAAAAAAAATATCATTATTTCTATTGACACCAAAAATTCCTGAAAGTCTGCGATTGCTTCAGAAGTGCCTAGAAGTCGAAACTGTCAATAAAACGTTGGCAACAACAAGTCCTGGAACTCAGAATAAGTCTGCTAGCTGACCATTTCAGCACAGCATATTAATACTATAATTCAGAATGCACCGCAAGATTGCTTATCTAAAACAGCATTTTCACACTATTTTTCAGAATGTTCTGCTAGGTTGCCTAGCCAGCTCGGAATATAACGCAAATTTAATACTATATTTAAGAATGTCCCGCTATATTGCTTTGCCAAATGAGCATTGCAGCAGAGCATTTTTACACTATACATTGTATTTAGGTATGCCCTGTGTAATTTCTTAGCCAGCTAAGCATTCCAGCAGATCATTTTACACTATATTAAGGAATGTCCTGCTAGGTTGCTAAGACAGCTGGGTATTACAGAAGAGCATTTTAAAACTATATTTAGGAATACACTGCTGGATTGCCTAGCCGGCTGAGCATTCCAGCAGAGTATTTGTACAATATTTAGGAATGCCCTGCTAGATTGCCTAATAAGCTAAGCATTCCATCAGAGCAGTTTTACACTATATTTAGGAATACCCTGCTAGATTTCCTTGCCAGCTGAGCATTCAGGCAAAGCATTTTAAGACTATATTTAATTATGCACTGCTAGATTGCCTAGCCAGCTTAGCATTCAGGCGGAGCATTTTAACACTATATTTAGTAATGCACTGCTGGATTGCCGGGCCAGTTTAGCATTCCAGCAGAGCATTTTGACATTATATTTAGTAACGCCCTGCTAGATTGCTTAGCCAGCTTAGCATTCCAGCAGAGCATTTTTATACTATATTTAGTAATGCACTGCTAGATTTCCTAGCAAGCTTAGCATTCCAGCATAGCTTTTTACACTATATTTAGGAATACCCTGCTAGATTTCCTTGCCAGCTGAGCATTCAGGCAAAGAATTTTAAGACTATATTTAGTTATGCACTGCTAGATTGCCTAGCCAGCTTAGCATTCCAGCAGAGCATTTTACACTATATTAAGGAATGCCCTGCTAGATTGCCTAGCCAGCTAAGCATTCCACCAGAGCATTATTATCTATATTAGGAATGCTCTGCTTATTGCCTAGCCAGCTTAGCATTTCACAAGAGCATTTTACACAATATTTAGTAACGCCCTGCTAGATTGCCTAGCCAGCTTAAAATTCCAGCAGAGCATTTTACACTATATTTAGTAATGCCCTGCTAGATTGCCTAGCCAGCTTAGCATTCTAGCAGAGCATTTTTACACTATATTAAGTAATGCACTGCTAGATTGCCTAGCCAGCTTATCATTCCAGCAGAGCATTTTAAGACTATATCAAGGAATGAACTGCTAGAATGCCTGGCCAGCTTAGCATTTCAGCAGAGCATTTTTACACTTTATTTAGTTACGCCCTGCTAGATTGCCTAGCCAGCTAAGCATTCCAGCAGAGCATTTTAACACTTTATTAAGGAATGCCCTCCTAGATTGCCTGGCAAGCTTAGCATTTCACAAGAGCATTTTTTCACTATATTAAGGAATGCCCTGCTAGATTGCCTAGCCAGCTTAGCATTCCACGAGAGTATTATTACCTATATTAAGGAATGCTCTGCTATATTGCCTAGCCAGCTTAGCATTCCACCAAAGCATTTTACACTATATTGAGGAACGCCCTGCTGTATTGCCTAGCCAGCTTAGCATTCCAGCAGAGCATTTTTACACTATATTAAGTAATGCCCAGCTTAGCATTCCAGCAGAACATTTTACACTATATTTAGTAATGCCCTGCTAGATTGCCTAGCCAGCTAAGCATTCCAGTAGAGCATTTTTACACTATATTTAGTCATGCCCTGCTAGATTGTCTAGCCGGCTGAGCGTTTCAGCAGAGCAATTTGTTCACTATTGCTAGGAATGCTCTGCTAAATGCCCAAATTGAAATTCCTTTTGCTTAGCTCACTGTTCACTGCTAACTTCTCACATACGTTTTTTTTTAGACTTTTTGACCTCACTGGAGCTCCTTTAAGAGTAGACCTGCAGCATCTGTTGCTAATAACACTGACATTTGGTGGCTTTTAAGCTCATTAGTTTTCGCTATACCTGTAACCCAAATGTGTAATTGTGTCATTCTCCAAAAAATCAATGAGGCAATGCATACGTTCAAACTTAAGCGCTTGCAATA